TGTGTGTGTGTGAGTGTGTGTGTGTGTGTGTGTGTGTGTGTGTGTGTGTGTGTGTGTGTGTGTGTGTGAGTGTGAGTGAGTGAGTGTTTGTGTGAGTGTTTGTGTGTGTGTGTCTGTGAGTGAGTGTTTGTGTGTGTGTGTGTGTGTGTGAGTGAGTGTTTGTGTGTGTGTGTGTGTGTGTGTGTGTGAGTGAGTGAGTGAGTGAGTGAGTGAGTGAGTGTTTGTGTGTGTGTGTGTGTGTGAGTGAGTGTTTGTGTGTGTGTGTGTGTGTGTGTGTGTGTGTGTGTGTGTGTGTGTGTGTGTGTGTGTGTGTGAGTGTTTGTGTGTGTGTGTGTGTGTGTATGTATGTGTATGTGTGTGTTTGTGTGTGTGTGTGTATGTGTGTGTTTGTGTGTGTGTGTGTGTGTGTGTGTGTGTGTGTGTGTGTGTGTGTGTGTGAGTGAGTGAGTGTGTGTGTGTGTATGCATGTGCTTTCGAAGGATTATGTTTTACGTATCCATACTGACCCCGATCTAATCATTTTCATTAGCAGAAACCTGCATTGGTGGTGATATTAGCTATAATAATTTTTACACTGTTAGGTAAACGCCTGTACATCATGTGAATAAATGTAAGAGGCTTATATGTATTTAGTAAAGTCTGAATGCCAGAGACGGCAATAATTACTTGATGCTACACCACTATGATAAATAAGTCTTGTGAAACCATGATATGACCCCCTGTCTGGAGATTGTAGTTCTCGGGAAATCATGTGTCATTATTTGACTGTTATTGGTGTAATATATCATTGTTATTAGTATGTTTTTCTATGTTTGTCTCACATTATTATTGATACTATTTTATACCCATCTAATTGTCATTATCAGCATGGTTGGTTTCTGCATACTAAAAGTATTGTTTATGAACAGTATATATCAGATATGTTGTAGTATTAGCAACATGTAAGTTGTCAGTATAATTATCATTAATTTTGTCCGATAGAATATATAATGTATCCCTTAAAGTTTCTAAGACTCCAGAGTGTCTTTCTGAATAGGACTTTTATTCATGATTTTATTCACTGTGTTCTCTCTAGATTCTCCTAAAATTTACTGTGAAGAGCTATGAATATCCTACAACCAGAAGCCAAATGCTTACAAGGTAGATTGTCATGAGAATACTATGACCTTGACAATTCATGTCTCAACAAAGGCCAGCAAATCTCCACCATGTAATATTCTAAATTTGAGATGAATCAGTAATAGTTAAGCAACTTTTTCTCTCCATGCTCTGGCAGTGACAATTAAGCATCTACTATATATATCCTAGCAATATAGACTTTTAAGCTGGTTCCTTGTCTGATAATGAATTGTCAAGAAGAGCTATGAGCTTTTTCTTGCTAGAATACATATGTTACAGGTTTGTTAGTCTGTGTTAAGCAGTGCCAGTGAGTCATGGTAGATACCCTCTTAATATTTTATGATGCCAGTATCATTATACTTTTGGAGATTAATTTTTACAGCCTTGAGTGTCATTCTGGTACATTTACAGGGTCAGTTGCCCATAAATTGCATGGGAGGTCTGTAAGCTCTAGCTTGCAAAAATACTTGTGATGTAGGTTTATTCTCCATGACAAGTAATGGAACTGAGGATTCTTAACAACTGTGTTTTTGCTTGTTATATTACCTCTGAATTAATTAATTACCTATATTGAATGGTAGAACACTCTGCCTTGTTGACTACTGTGGTAGAAAAACCCAAAATACACAAAATAAATTTATTGGAAATGAGACAACAGTTTTGAAACCCTTCTGAAGATGAAATCTAAGAGGATTTCAGAACTGTTGTCTCATTTTCAGTAATTATATTTTGTGCATTGTGGATTTTTCAACAATTGTCTATAATGTTTCATGTTAATTTGTCATTATAATATCAATTTACTCAACATTTGGATCAATTAAAGAATTATAAGTAAATGTCACTAAGGCCTACAGTCTAATGTCCAACTGTCATGATGCAGTGTCAAGCATCCACAATGGCCTTTGTACCAGCAGCCAGTAAATCTCAGGAACATAGATTCTGCCAAGATAGAGCTTGAATTGGTCCCACATATCAAGATGAATTGCCTGGGAGGTTTACAGCTCAGCCCTGCTATATACTACAATGCAGAGGCCTTAGCAAATTGTGTTTAGGCTAGTAATGAGAATTTTTTTATTATTTATTTTTATATACCGGCTATGAAAAGGGTAAGAAAAAAAATATTGTATTTCAGCTTTCTATATACTGCAGGTAATTCTGTTGATATATTTTTTTTTTTTTTGTCAAAATTATAATTATTATTCTATTGTATTGTTAGTGTAAGTGGCTATATGCATTTATTTATTTATTTATTTATTTATTTATTTATTCTTAATATTTATATGTTTTTATTTTCTGAGCAATGATAATATTGAACAAAAGAAATATATATATATTTCTGTAGAAGAGGAAGTGACAAGCAAATTCAATGTATTTCATTTGG